ATCAAATTTAAACTTTGCTAAAATTTAAGGTTAAATAAATATATTTTGAAAATTATATTATTTTTTTATATTATTATATAAAATACTAATTTTAATTTTTGGTCCACGATTCTGGTACCTCAAGTTAATTATTTTTAACTACAAAAAAACAACAAAATCGATTATTACATTGTGGTATTCAGGAAATATTTTCATTTTTTTCGTACCTTATTGTTTAAAGGACGTTATACTTTTGATCCATCCCCAAAGTTCCAGCTTCATCAAATTTTCTATCAGAAATCACATTCAAAGTTAAGAGCATTTCTCTCAAAGGTTAGGTCAGGTTAAGATACGTTTTACATTGTAAAATCAATACATAAATATCTCCATCAGTAATCTTAAAGAATTAGCGGTCCTAGTCAACATGCCTTAACAATTTTTTTTCCACGTATTATTATTATAAAAACATAAAGATTTGACAACAATTTTTTTGCCTGGGCCTCATTTATTTATTGTTTTAATCTTCCGGACTCCAATAGAAATTATTTGCTCAACCCTGATCTAAAATACAATCATTATCATCAATAATACATTTTATACTTACAACAGAAATAGTCATATTATATCAGTTTGAAAATCAATGCTTGGAAGAAACCCTGCTCAACGAAATTCGTTCCAACAATTTTGTTCTATTTTCAAGAACTATAATAAGCGGGATCGTAGTTCTTTTTTATGCGAAGGAGCATAATGGAACTTCGTTCATTTTTTTAGAGGAAYACGAAGGATTTTTTGGTTCCTTTTTTTCATATTCTTTAATATAGGAAATTCAAATAATTTTTATTATTTTTTTTTTAGAAATTTAGACAATATATTTATATTCTACGACAATATTCACTCAAGACAGTGACTAATGGTCTCATTGGTCTTAAATTGTAGACTAAAAAAAATAAAACAATAACAAAATAAAATAACTACCTTATTAAACATTTATTGCTACAAATTATATAAATACAATTTTAAAATTACCAAGGGATAAAAGATGTTATTTATTTAGGAACGACGAAAGGAACTAGTTCCTTTCACTGTGACAGKAATTAAGCACTATTAAAAATGTATCATGGTTCATATATTTAAACACCATGTTGCATCATATTATATTATTAATAGTAAAGTAACATTAAAGCGATACTATTTGTAATATACATTAATAAAACAAATAGAGATAATTAAGCCTTTAAAACGTATTCCAACGGCTCCTTGATTAATTCAAAACAACCGTTTCCTATTTTATAAACTATAGATCCATTTGTCAGTTATCTGTTCACTATTCTAACTTAGTAATGTGGATACTATCGTGTATGACATGTTCATCACCTGAAATATTTTAGAACAATATATTATAATAATTACGATAACAATATGTACATAACAGTTTAACATATTGTATTGAAATCAGAAACCAAAAACATGTAGATAGTGCAGGTTAATTTTTTAATTATTAATTATAMATTTTTTCTAGGTAAAGTAAAAAGATCATTCAATAGTTCAATAATTTTATATCAGTTGAATTTCACAGTCGAAATAAGTTTATAATTATAACTTAATTATAACCTAACTTTTATAAGACCAAGTATAGTATATAATTTAGGGCACRATACGATTGCTCTCGGTCCATATCAGCGGTACCTTTACAAGCGTACGATTGSGCGCGCTATATTATTTTAACTTTTAAGCAACGTTGCCAAATATATAGGTCCATGGTAAATCCATACCATACTATAGTATAGATTATAGTAGATTATTTACTACTTATTTACCTTACCAAATTATTGACCATTTCCAAAGGTATAATCAAACCAATATCGAAGGAAGAATTAAGGAAAACTGAAAATCTGGAAATTGAACACAACAATAATTATAATATAAATAATAAAAAACCAGAAAATTTACTCAAGTATTTGGCCATAGTTTGAAATAGGTATTGGGAGTTTAAAATTTAATTTCAATATTGATGTAGGAGTATTATATTTTTT